AGCTTTGCCATTTTGTTCAATATCTTTGCTGTTTTGTTCAGCTCCTTCGCCACCACTAAAATCACCTTCCAATCCTTCTACTTCTTCTTCATCATCACCATCAACCTCTGCATTTTCAAGTTCTGCTCGTTCCATCTGTCGCGCTAATTCTGCCTCGTCCGTCGCAGTAACGACTTTTGGCTAATATTATAGAAAAAAAACAGAATAATTTCTTTATTATAATGTGCAAAATATTAGATCAACATTATTTATGCATGAAACTTACTGCCATTTGTACGTTGAATACACCTCCAAGTGACATTATTTTATTCTGTATGACTTCGATTGCATCACTTAATGCCTTTAAACCATCCTGTTTTTCTGGAGTAGATGTCGTCATGACTGAAGATCACCATATAAGATATAACGTCATGATTTTTAAAATATGATTGATTTGAAAAATAATATAGAACATATACCATATAATGGAGGAGCAATTAAGTTAATTTTTATAGGAAGTTCATCAGTGGAAAGAGCTAAGCCTGCTTTTAATGCAGTCTTAACAGCATCAATGCCTTCATAACCATAACAAGCCACTTCTACATCTGCTCTAATTTTAACCGCTTGCGAGGTAAGTTTTCGCTTGATATTATTTAGCAACACTTCCTTCGTATGTTCGTCCAAACCACATTCTGCTAAAATGGAGGGATCCCTTTGAGAAGAAAAGTATTTATATTCATAAATATATCTCCAGAGATACATTTAAATATATTTTTTTCAAATAAATAAAGAAGGGCTGAATAAATAAAGAAGAGTCGAAGCTAGATTTTGGTTCTAATTTAAAAAATAAATTTTAAATATATCTTCTCGTTATATATATTACTGCTAATTAGTATTGACATACACTTTATATAACTAGAAGATATATTTAAATTTTATATATAAATATTATTGGGCACCAAAAACTAGTCTCTATTATATTTGATCCTTCTTTAATTGATTTATAGCGATCTAATTTAACTTATTGCAGTTAGATTTTGCTTACAATACTGATTGTTTGAAAAAATCATAAGCAGATGCCTTCTGTTTCTTGTATTTTTCTTCAAAGTGCCAGGCTGTTTTCTGATAGAGTTCTTCAAGCTGGTCATCATTATCATAGTGCAATAGCTCTGCCACGTGTCTTAAAATTGAATTAACAGCTTTAGCCTTAGCATATCTCTCTGTGCATTTTTCCACATCCTCAGCAGATACACGACGCTTACTCAGATCGATGTAACCTAGAACCCATGATTAATACATTTCATTATAAATAATGAGAACTGTATATATATATATATAATAATAATTGAAACTTATGTAAATGATTTAATTTTCCACTAACTGCACTTGATTCTCATTTACTCGATAGAGTTTTTTTTGTTGATTTTTATTTGAATCAATAAAATATCTTTAGTTACCTTTCTCCTTATCTACACGAATAACAACAACTGGTTCAGTTTTGCCTACTCGGATAAGTTTGTTGATAGACCTAATACGTCTTCTAGAGAGCTCAGAGAGCAAGATCATGCCTTCAATATTGTTGTACTCCAATAAATGAACATATGCACCCATTTCAGCTATACTGCGTACATTTACCATCACCACGTCCTCCACTTCTGGATACTTTTCTTTGTAAAATCGACACGATAGTACCATGTTTTACTAAAAACATGCAAGATTGTACAATGCAACGACATTAAAAATAACATCCTGGTAGTAATATAAAAAATATAAGAAATATTTGAAAAATATATCATCGACAATTTTGTGAAATTTTTATCAAAACATTTAACTCTTTGTGGACGGAGCCACTTAGCGATAAAAAGGTTTGAGTGGCTATTTGCGAAAATGTGTTCACAAAAGGTTAAGCTGCATTTCAAAACGTCCCGTCTGTGGAAAATTTTCTTCAAAATATATAAGTAACATGCAATATTGTATTGAGTAAAATTTTTCTCAAAGGAGATATTTTTGAAATGTAGCATTATAAAATATAAATAAGAATATGTTAACTTGAAGGTTAGTGAATCCTGGAAAGAGGATAAAATACAGTCGATATAAATATTCTGATCGTTACCTAAATAATTAATATTTGCGCGAAGATAAAATCCTCCCTTTATCCTTACAAACTGGTTTAAAACCGCAAAAAGTTTCACTACGCGAAACTTGTCAATAATCCATGTGCAATCTCGTCTAAAAGTCTCTTTCATTAACGACAGCAACTCCGATTAACGCATAGGCATGCATAGGCATATAAGATAGATCCAGCATCCATATACTTTTCTACACAGAAGGCAATTTTTATTAAGCTTCGGTTAACTTGTGTGGCGAATTCAGCACACATGCACTGACTCCGTTCTAGTGCTACCCTGACATGGTGCGAGTACAGAACCACTTTAGTCCTATACTAAATTGCACTGTCAGTGCAATATTTCTTGAACTCGTTCAGTTCATTCAATTAGGCCCTGCGCACAATAGAGGAATTAGGAATAAAGAATAAACGATTCTAACTTATCAGAAATCGGATACATCGGAATATACGGTATTCTGATAGATTGAAATCGTTTATTCTTTATTCCTTATTTCTTCTTCGCAAGGCCTTAATCCGAATATAAATTCGGCACTACACTGGCTCAATTTTTATTTGCCGAATATGATAATCTAGAGTAGAATTTAATGAGGCATATTTGCCGCGTATCGTGTATCACGTAACCAATCAGTAATCAATAAAATCAGCGGATAGCTTTTGATTGGTTACGCGGTTACGTGATACACGATAAATACACTTCATGAGATTCTCAGTCTTAACGCACTGTGGATGCAAACCCATGCAATGGAATAGCGTAATGCGGAACGAGAGCAGAATCAATTATAAATTTCATAGTTTCATAGTTTTCATTACACGGCTTTGAATTCCTTCATCCCCATGGAGAGGAATTAACGTAAACGAAATAAACAGCAAATCTGTACATAATCTTTTAAATATTGTTTTATCATTCATTTTTTATCATCTAATACTTAAATACTAAATTAAATGCGTTTCTTATTGAAAATATTGATTAACAACGTTAAAATCTTATAAAATTAGTTTTAGTTGTGATTTAACTCTAACGAATGAGTTGTGATTGGTTGCGTAAAATCCGCTTACGTTATATGAATATTGGGAATTCACGTTTCAACGCAACAAATACGGAATATGTGTATTCCGTTCTAAACTACGGAAAGAAATATCGGAAAGAGAGATCATCTTTCTTTCAGTGATTTAATATTTCTCTGTTCGGAACAAAATTTTCTTTTTCTTTTTGAATTTCTTGTCTATGTGATATTAAGTTACATACAGCTAATCTAATATCACATACACCAGGTTATTGATTATATAAAGTTTCCCCTAAGAATGAATACACAAAAAGTGAATAAATTCACGTGAATGTAATAAATAAGCGATTAAGTATTGGGAATACAAATTAGTTCGTTTTTTCGTATTCAAAAATGCATTTATTTCAAAACAAAATGAACAGATCAATTAAAATATTGTCTAGCGCTGCCTACTACTTTTTCCCATCTCTCAGGCAATTTTCGAATTCCATCTCGAAAAAAATGACTCGTCTTTAGAGGCGATCCAATTTTGGAGTCAATTTTCGATTTCTGCGAAAGAAGTGAACCAGTGACTTGTTGCATTCGGAATAACCAGTAATCAGAAGGAGCAATGTCCGGAGAATACGGCGGATGCGGTAAAACATCCCATTTGAGCGTTTCCAAATATTTTTTTTACAACTTTAGCGACATGAGGCCGAACGAATAACTTTATCATGTCTTTGCTCGTATTCCGGCCATTTTTCTCGCAATGCACGGCTCAAACGAATCAATTGTAGCCGATACCGATCGCCCGTAATGGAATCGCCACCGGTTTCAGCAGTTCATAATAAACAAGATCCTTTTGATCCCACCAGATACAGAGCATGATTTTCGAATTATGAATGTTCGGCTGTGATGTTGATGTTGAGGTCGATGGCAACGATTGACCAGGCTTAGCGTAATATTTTTTCTTCTTGGGGTTGTCGTAGAATATCCACTTTTCATCTCCAGTCATAATCTGATGCAAAAAACCTTTTCACTGTTGTCTTTGAATCAGCTGTTCGCAAGTGAAAAATCGCTTTTCAACGTCTCTCGATTTCAGTTCATAAAACACCCAATTTCCTTGTTTTTGAATCATTCCTGGCTCTCAATCGTACAGAAACGGCTTATTGAGTTACTCCCCAATGATTCTGCAAGCTCCTCTTGCGTTTGACTCTGATCTTCTTCGAGTAATGCCTCTAATTCTTTGTCTTCAAATTTTTTTGGCTGTCCAGAGCGAGGTTTGTCTTCAACGCTGAAACCTCCATCCTTGAAACGTCGAAACCCTATTCCCCATTCCCTATGTGATTTATCAGTTGGAGCAGTATCACCATAAACTTCAACAAACATTCGATGGGCTTCAGCCGCACTTTTCTTCCAATTAAAGCAGAAAATCAAAACCTCCCGCAAATGCTGCTTGGTTAACACAAAATTCGACATTTCAAACATATAAAAAGATTTTTGTATAAAACTTAAAGCGATATAAACTGAATATTATTAGCAGATGTTTAATTTCTCTGAAACCGCCAAAATCAGCTGTCACTATGAACCATTCATAATAGTTGGAGCCATCTTTAGAAAAACGGACCGAACTAATTTGTTCACCCAATAATTTTTTACTGTTATAAAATATGAAATAGATCACGGGAAATTTTTCGGCAAGTAACGAAATACCTAAAATGTGAAATTCTAGTTATCTTTTTAGTAAATTGATATAAATTAATTTGTTTTTCGATCTTTTGGTCTGTTTTTTGTTCCTGCATTAGACTGCATTAGAATTCTCTTGCTTTCGACAAATATCAAATATATTTGAATATCTGTTTGAAATATACATTTGAAATGGATATTGCGTGGTTTCTTACCGTAAATGGTGCGAACAAAGAGGAAGAGTATGCAGTTGACAGACGAAAACTTCATATATTAAGGAAACGTTTGCATGATGTTAAATTAAATATAAAAGATAAAAATATGAAGTACATAAAAATAAAAATTAAAAAATGAAAATTATAATAAAAAATAGAAATTTATGAAACAAATTAAAAAATAACCTTTTTCCATTCAGATGAAGATTTCTCCGGCCCCAATCCGGAACAATTTAGGGTTTGTGCTATGTTCTCCTATACATTTTTTTACGAGTTTTAAATACATATTGTTTTTTTACTACATCAAGAATAATAAAATAACATGTTTTTACCAGTTCCATACGACTTTGAGAATTTCGCGACATCTTCCCTGCACAATATTCAAATTTTTTTGGATATGTTGGACATTATGTTTAACAGCATTTTCTTTTGTTTTTAAATTGTATTCACTGTTATTCTCGATTATATGATTATAAGAAACAACAAATAATGAGCACAATGTGATTTCCTATCAAAATATGTACGTACATACTTGTATGTACATCATCCGTGAACACTTGTTAAATTTTCGTAATTTAAAAGGAACGACGTAAATTTGTCTCATGATCTCACTTTTTCGTAACTTCCCCATCTGATTCCATTTTCTCATAATTTTCTTACATAATCACTAAGTCTGATTGTTTGAAAAAAATGAAACTTGAATGTGAGATTGGTAAATCGTCGAAAAGTGAAAAAATGAAAGTTTCGTGAAAATTTACATAATCCTCAGAATCACGCGGCAAACTCACGTGAGATGAAAGTGCGAAAAGTGAGTGATCTCACTCGAATTACAGAATCGACCTCATAGTCTATCCAATTTGCTCTAAAGCCAAAATACAAAGCCATCGACGCAAAAAAGTTCAATGTGTATAAGATTTCAGGAACTGAAAAATGTTGATACCCATCTAAGTGACGCTTATTAACACTTCATAAGTATTATATAAATCCTAAAATTTTACTTATTGAATTTTTTTACGTGGCTTAGCGTTTCGGTTCCGAAGCTCAAATTGGACAGAACTAACATAGATAGTCAGTAGACAATGTAATGACAATGTAATATACATAGTACGTGACATGCATATTAACACACAAATATGTGAGTATATTACGCAGCTGCGTGTACAAAAAGTATTCTACTAAAAGTTGTTGAGAAATACGGAACGCTTGTGATTGGTTCCGCTTTCGTTCCGCGTTACACTATTCCGCTGCATGGGACTACTCTGAGACAATGTGCGCAAGCCGAATTCTCTCTTAATCAGTCTAGTAACTTTGCAGGATTCCAACTGAAACTGATGTCGGAGAAAAAATGTGAATTGAAAAGTTAATATATTTATATTTATGCTTGATTTATACTTCAGTCTTAATCCTAAAATTTAGCTAAGGATTGCTAATTCTAATTGGTCCTAACTGAAATCTATATTCCATTGGCTGAATTTTAAAAGTTTAAGATTAAGACCGAAGCATAAATCAGATATTACATTCATAATTTCTCTCTTTACATTTTTCTTCTACTCTGTTTCAGTTGGAATTCTGCAAAGATTGGTTAAGTTAATCGGAGGCTTGGTAAGCGAGAGTAAATTCCCATTGTATTTTCTTTATTCTAAAGTCATTAGATAACAAAGTACCGTGAACTGCCATTTTGACTCCATGATACACAGTCATTCAAAACTTACGTGACTGTATTATATTATAAGAGAAAATAAAACTTTACAGATAAAAAATTATACTTCAAAGACAATTATACTTCACCCTTTCTAACAATTTTCTTTGCCAATTAATTGAAGTTAGAGTCCCTAGAACTACTAGAGTCTGACCATCCTTCCAACCTCTCTTGTGATTGGCGTGTCCACAATGGCAATACCAATCGAGAACGCACAATCATATCATCAATTGAGAGCAAATACACATTGCGGACACACATGCCATTTTTAGGCATGGCCAGACTCTGATATTTTAAGAACTGTAATTGAAGTCACGTTCTTCATGTCTATCGCCTGTTAGCACGCGAAATAAATGAAAGCTTCTTTCGCTGCGGTTTTTGCAATTCACAATACAGCAATCGAGCATTTCCGACATTTTCTAACTAGTTCTAAATTTATACAAAGTCACAAACGCATATAAAATTATAACAGAATCAAGTTACGATTGCACTTAATGTGTAGGAAGTTATATGAAATCTATCTGAATTATTCGACGCCATTTTAGCTCCAAATGCTAATTTAATAAATTTTCCCATTGTGATACTTTATCTAGCAACTTTACTTTTCCCTAGAGATCCTTTAATCAAAGACTAGCCATAAGAGATTTGAGATTGTTCGCGTCGTACGCTTCAACTTGCTCAATACGCTCCAATACGCGTCACCGGAACCAATAT